CTCTATAGTCACGCTGTCGGGAACAATGCAACTTTTGTTGAAAATGTGCTTATAAAGAGGTTGTGACTATATAGAGGTTTTTTCTATAAGTTTAATAGTATTTGTTTCTCAACATGGTGTGCTTATAAAGAGGTTTCTTATATGTGGGTTTATAGAGGGGGTGACTATAGAGGGGTACGACTGTACATTATTGTTGAATGTCAATTTGGAATAGTGGATTAGACAAAAGATATTTAAGCAATGTCAATTATGTATGTATACTAATGTTGTTATAAAAACTGTTGTTAAGGGTTATATTGTACTAATTATTATAACAAGATAAGTGATTAGTATTGGTATGTATTGCACGAGTCGCTTGAAGTATTGACTCTATTAAATGTAATCGCTTTTTGTCAATGTGTGTGCATCGAAATTATTGGATAAGTCGGACACGACGGTATCGAGGAATCCGAGCTATCGATGGACCAATAAAATTCATCATAATACAATTTGAAGTGTTACACATCTGTGTATTATATATTAATTATATATTAAATAAATATATGTTATTTTAATTATTATTGTTGTAGCATTTATTGGCTATATATTAATTATGTATAAAATAATATATTTGACAGTGACACCTCCATAAGTGCACGTCCTTACAGCACAATGAATAGAAAACCAGACATTGTTATATTTTAGTAACATTTATGTCCATATTGTTTCATAGTAGTAAGTAGTGGCTATTGTATATTTGTTGATTGAAATCGCGACAATTTAATTGGCTGACTTTGTTATTGTGCATTTATGGAGGGTGCACTTATTGTAGTATTTATCTGTATATACTATTAGTATAAAAAAAGACCCCCGTATTTACTAAATAGAAAGCAAACCTCCTGATGCTAAGGTATCACAACATATGCAGACCTCAGAAGTCACGGGACTGCGGTCAAGTTGTGTAACTACTTAATCTTTATCAATCTATCATCTGCAATTCGACTGACTTGTCACTCTCTCTTCTTAGAGACACGATTAATTTCTTGGCTATCTAAAGTCATGTCAAACACAAACACAAACACAATGCAAGAAGGAACCGATTTTGAGAGGAGGATAGAAAGTATCCTGGTAGATGCTGGTTACTATGTGGAGTGGTGGACGGGGTGAGTTTTCACTGAGTATCTTGTTGAATGGTTTGTAATCCGAAGTTACGCTGCCACTAGGTGTAAAATGTCGGAGAATTGAAGGCACATCGATGCCACAATCTGTGAATTGTTGTATCGGGTAACCACTTAGTGTAGTATCTGAAGGTACGCTGCCACTTAGGTGTAAATTCGGGTTTCGGTAAGCGCAATGGGCGTATATATATATCGATTCCTGTGACCGACAAAGCCGACAGTGAGCATCCGGGCTGTGGTGAATAGGATACATTAAGACACTATGTGGTTCTCGATATAAGTTCACTAGTTGTAAACATACAATCTCCGTTGCCGACAAAGCCGACAGTGAGCATCCGGGCTGTGGTGAATAGGATACATTGACCATTGAATTGAAAGCGCTTCGTGGCCACAGCTTGCGAAAGTTACCAGTCAGGTATCCAGCCCTGGCGTATAGGTGGACGGCCTGCTGTGAACGTTCTTCAACGGTCTTAAAACTGATGATGCAATTACTCATTAAACTCTTACGTCTTAATTATAAGGATGAAATCCGGGGACGGAGGTGTACACGTAGGCCTGGAAGTACGCTATATGACCTGCACGGTTTATATCCTGTGCAGGGATCATGCGGGTAAGATTTATTTATCTGATCACGAAAAATTCAAAATTTTTAATTAATCCGAAATTATTGCTGTTTCCAAGGGCGGGAACTGGTGCAAGCGCTGGGAGGGGTGCTTGCTAAACGGTCGACATATTATACCTGTCTTGTCGGTATTGTCGTGGCCTCTGGCTTTACCGACGGGGCACATCATGAAGCAAGTACCTGCCCATATCCGATGAAACTATCGTATGAAAATACGATAGTTGAGGATATTAGACACTTAGTCATGTCGAGCTTGGACGCTCTGGACGAGGAAGAGGAAAATAGAATGGGGGTGGAACTGGAGGATGAACTTATGCAAGTACGAGCGGAGAACGCGGTGATTCGGGAGGAAAATGCAGCGCTTCGGAGGAGGGATAATAAGGAGAGAGTAGGGGTGGTTATTGTTTATTTTCTAGGTTTAATTATTTTTATGCTGTTATGTATAATTATTTATGAATAAAAAATTTCAGTTATTTTAACGGATTAGTGCCATTAGTTGCTATTAGTTGCCATTTCGTTACTTGTTGTTCGTTCCTTTCTTCTTAGAGGGCAAAAGTGGGGTGGCATTTATTGTTCAAAGGCTTTTTGCTTCATGTTTAGTGTATTTTTCATCGTTTGTCTGGCATTTAAACTTTGCTAGAGTGTATTAAATTATTTCGTTTTTCTTTTACAGTTCGGTAATGTATGATACAAACAGTTAATGTTGTTTCAGCCACGTCAATCTCGTTCTCTTATCATTCACTCATATAATGATACTTCAACAAGACTCTTTTATTTCGTTCTTTATTTTACTCGATTTAATTAACTTGATGTCGGTAAGAGCTGAAGTAGGAAAATGATTGCGGATACCTAATATATTACTACTATTTGATTGTAGCATTTGTAATGCTTCAATACGTTCTATGTCGATAGTTTAATGGAAAACGGAGTATTTTTTGAACAATTGGAGTAAATAAACATGTTTGAGAGTATGGCAATCAATTGGTGACATTTAAAAGGTTTTGTAGTGGCAGCAAAGGTTATAAGGCTATTGCTATTACACTACGGTATGGTCTGACGTAGCCGGAGATTTGATCACGCCAATGAATTCGAGCCGGGGTACTAGTACGGCTGTTGCATTTGAACGGTTTAATCTGCAGGCAGGGAATAAATGTCACATTTAACCATTGGATATTATGTAAAATTTGGTGCATAATAAAAATTTTTATTTCTCTGTTACAAAAATAGTTATTAGTTTAATTTCTATGTAATTTACTATGTTGGTATTGCTTAATAAGTTGTGAGAGATGCACAGGTGATGAGCTAAATAGTTTAATGTAATTCTGGGTAATTCTGGGTAAATGTGAACAGTATTATTTGATTATCCATCTCACTGTCATCTTTTTCTCTACATTTCAGTTACTCTCTTCACACAATGCTACAAAGTAACCAGAAAGACAAGATTAACATAATAAGAATTGGAGCCAGTAAACCGCTTTTAGAATACGATATGCATACCGTAAAGAGCAATTGTGTAACCATGACGTGATTTTTGAGACGATTGGGTAACGGAAAATCGGTACGGGGATCCGATTTCAGCATCAGCCGTCTCACATTCAATATTTTGCAGTTAGCTCGAAAACCTTTGACAAGATAACCTGGCTATAAAGTCAACGTTCAAACGAACGAATTTTGAAAAGGGCTAATGTCTGTCATGTCAAACTACGACTTAATATTAAGGACCAAAAAAATTTGGTATTGTTCCACGTTGCACAAAACTCTTAATCATGTGATTGAATATAAAAAACTTTTGGGAATCCAGAATTACAGAATTTATATTTACCAAAAGATGGTTGGTTTTAATCAACATATTGGTTAGCATTCTTCCCGAATACGATTTTGCGAGATAGAATTAATACGTTTTCGTTCCGTTTCGACAGCCGAAAGTTAGACGGGAACGGAACAAGTTACAGCACCGACCGTTTGCCGTGCCGAGGAATGAAGTCCTCGAGCGCATTACACCCGGTTCAGCGACTGACCAAAACGTAGGATGCTTGATTCGAGGGCTTATGTGTTTTCAGTCATGTTGCTAATATAAAATGTGCACTATCAGGAGTCAGATCTCTTACACTCATACAAAAACGCCAAGTCAGCGCTCTTTGCGCCGTTTCAGCAATCAAAAAAAGCCAAACTAAAGGAACGTCATGGAAAATGGATAGAAAGTGCGTATTGTTCATAGTGTTACCCGTTTTAATTCACCCCTCATTGCATATGTATATTGCTTTAGTACTGATTACTATGACTGATTAGGGTTGGACGCAGTGTATAAAGCGAAACAAAATAACGAAACGAAAGTGAAAACTAAAAAGAAAAAGAAAAAGGAGCCTAACATAATAGTCGATTTGTCTTCCTTTAATGAAATTCTTTCGAGCGTACATGATAATACAAACGATGCCAAGCCAAAAGATGTTGAAGCAAATAAGAGTCCAAACCCTACGGGTAAAAAAGTAGGGAAGCGAGCTGCGTATGTATCATACTTTTACCAAGTCATCTTAACATCGGTAATAAGTATTTAATCTTTTAGTATTGTTGGCAAATAGTGTTGCTGAGATGCAACGGTTCCGTGAAGTACTCCAGCATCCCTCGTTTAAAGCAGACGCTCTATCTACGATACAAGTCCACATGAAGAATACTCTTCAGATGAAACAGAATACAGTAAAAGCACATGAAAAGAATATGGATGTTGATTGAAAATACTACAAAGACTATTTGGCTGTTCAATAATTATTGAAAGAGCATATGTTGGTATGTATAATGATAGTATTCCCACTTTCCATTATACGTTTTATAGAAATGAACAACGTTACCTGCAATGATTGTCATGGGAATATTCAACTGTTTAATATCTTCAAGACCGAAACTAATTCTACTGTATACAATTTTTAAAAATCATTAATAACAGGGAACTCACTATCAGAGAACAATTTTGTTTTATATTTAATCAACTTGCAGTGTTTGTCTAATGAACAGCGTCTTGTAAGTAATATTATTTGTTAAATCTTTTTAGTCATTAAACACATTTCAATCTTCGTATTAAGGTTACTTTGGTAGCTTGTCATTCTGTTGGAAAAGCTAAGGAAGATCTTAGTTCATCTACTAAATTTTATTGTATTTGGGTAATCAGGGCTATGGGGCTAGTTACTTAATTATCATTGTTTGAAGCTCGTATTACGTCATTTAATGTTTTTATGCGTCGATGTGTTATGAAATTACGATCCATCAATTTCTGAAGGATATGCGAATTGTTCTAGAGCACAATCGGATCAATTTACGGCACCGGGACCTTAATTACAAATATTTTTACTCCATTAAAAAGCTGTATACTTTGCTTATGCGGGATAGACATGTCGCATGATCATAGTGTATTGGAGAATATATCACATCAACGGATGTGTAGATCACGTTATATTTATTACGATTAGTATTTTACTTTCCGTGTAAAGTTTTATCATACCATCGTTGACACGGTTGTATAATTTCAGGGAAATGGGAACATCCGCTTTTAAGAATATTTACCAATTGCCGAAGCAAGATGTAATATCTTATTGAAATAATTTCATGAGACTCGAATGCAAGCTTTAGAACTCAAACCCAATCATAAAGTTCGAAGCTGAATTATGCATAAACATTATGTATGCGAACATGCGCCACAGTTAAATTGTTGAGCCACAACAGTAGCCCCGTCATAAATATTAATGCCAAATACAAGGTGCATCAAGTGTTAATTGCTAGAAAACCCTAAAGAACAACATACGATATTCACGAATATGCCTTTGTGCGTTTTAATTAAATCTTGGTTCATAGCAATAGTTAACAAACGAGTTTATAGGCAAATCACACCGTTTCATGATCTCGTGTTTAGCATAGATAAATCGGGTCTGGGTTTGGTGAACGCAGAACATATTCACAAGACCATCAGAATTTCTTCGCCAAATCGACATCCGTGGCTTGACATTTAACAATGCTTATTTCACCAGTCATTTATTTTTCTTGGTCTCACACTTTTTATAACCTCACATCAAAAGTTGATAAAATAATCAATTTAATGGAGCCCAAGAAAAAAAACGTAAACCATCCGGCGAGAATTTGTGAAAACTTTAAAGACTTATTTGATAAAAAGTCTGGGCTAGATTATTTTATTATCAAAATGGCGGCTGAAACCTGCCAATTACGCGAAGAAAAAGACGTTGATATCTTTGCTTTAAAAAGCTAAACACGAACCCGAGTAAGAGAACATTGAAAGCTTTTGTGTCTATATTATTTGAATAGCATATTTACAATATTCTTCAGAAAGCGAATATTTATACAGTTGGCCGCGTTTGAAGATGGAAGACGCTCCACTCAAGCACGCAATTCATGATGTGTCTCTAGCCCCAAAGAATTTGCTGAGGCGCTAGACCGAAATTGAGCCCTTGGACACCTGAATTCGATACGCCCCGGGATAAATGTAAATCGAAGCGATCAACATAGTAAATAGGCCTTTTTTATGTTGGTCTTCTATATGACACCGATTTATTAACTTGACGCCTTTATATATCACTAATCAGAGGTCGGCCCTAGCGAAGAAATCTCGTCTGATACTGTATGTATTATTATGCTCAGATATAATAGTACATCGATTTACATAACATCGTGTTAATTATCGTTTGAATAGATTTCAAACTTGAACCTTTATTCCGGATATCCAACTTATAAAATACAACATACGGTATGTATGTAATAAAAATTTGTGAAACCACCCAGTGCAAATTTATTTGTACGATGTTTTAAATATGATCCAGAATACCTATGCTGTATTATTTATTACTTGATAATATTGAAAAGATAGATCAAGGACTGGCTACGTAATAATGGGCTAATTCTCAGAATGCCGTAACATCACCATATTACCGAAATAATAACGCATCCGACAACGGATAGACTATCGCCGTCCATGTATGTGTGGTCATATATGCTTAGTATATCATGTGTTTTTCTCATTGCAAACACAATGAATAGATGACTTTTTGAGGACGCCCAGTTCGGATTGGTATTATGTCTTCTTTAGGTGTGCAACGAAAATTGTCTTGAACCGTAGCTTAGTCTTACGCACTGAATAGCCTTTCTTCAATGGCAATATATAAAGTGTCGTTGACTTTTCCCGCTATTTAATAAATGCCATTCGTTTATTATTATAGCGTTACATGATAATGAGGAAGTTGGCAGTCAGAAATATGGAATAGGGTAACCCTCTCTAATAGCACTTGTACAATTACTGTACAAGTTTATTCAAAAAATGGTTGAGTCACTAAATCATAAGCAGTGGACGATGTTAATAATTAATATTGTAAATTGATCTCATTACAACCAACGTTTTCTTCATACCTGCAGCTGAGGAGTCCATATCATAACTATTTCTCGGTTTTGGTAAATCTCCTGTAGGTAAGAGCGTACTAGAATGTTTACTCTCCTTCTCAAGACGTGATAAGAATTTTACATCATTGTGATAGATGGTATCCCACACATCATCAGAATTACCCTTGTTCACCTCATTAATAATAGTAACGCGAAGTGTATTTGCATCTGGACGCTTATCAGGATCAGCATCACAACACCACTCGGCAAGTTTCTTGTATTCCTCTGGTGCTGAATCAGGCATCATTGGCCGTAGTCCACCCATAATATCACATGCCAAGTCTCTATCAAACTGCCTATCTCTAAAAGGTGGTTCATCAGTGGCAATTAAATACATATTAATACCAAAAGCATATATGTCTGATTTCTGAGTAAATTTGCAAGTATGAAAGACTTCTGGTGCAATAAAGGGCAAAACACCTCGAATGGTTGAATTTTGTTCACGCGAATTCACCAATTGAGAAAGACCAAGATCACATATATATGGGTATCCGTCGTTTAAAACTATGTTTCCGCCATGAAGATCACAATGCACTAATCCCACATCATGAATAATTTTTAGATTACATGCAATATACTTCAAACACTGTAATTTCTTCTTCCACGTCAGTTTGTTAATATTCCGATCCAAATAAGACAAAAGACTATCATTGTTAGCATATTGCATAACAATCATGTACTCTTTTGTTTCTGGGTCTTGTGTGACTCCGTAAAGTTGAAGGAAGCGACTAGCTATGTTGTTTAAGCACTTGGCATGATTTCTGAACTATTAAACAAACAAATAAATACTAAATACAGAGCCAATTAAACATCATGTTAGTTAACTATATCACAAAATGCTTACCTCGGAAATAAATAATTCCGGTGTTTCATCAAAACTCTTAAACCGTTTGAGTACAACAGTTTCTGGTATACGCCTTTCTGAATACTTTCTATATTTGGCAGTATAGACTGTTCCATAACCACCAGATCCAATCGTTTTGAGTTCATCAAAGTCAGCATACTGCATATACTGTATACGTTCGTTAAGTTGTCTAAACCTGTACAATATTGTGTGTATGTCGTTGTAGAAAACTAAATAATATGCTAGCATGGATGGCTCTTGAACGATTCCAATAATACAAATATTCCCAGGTGTTAATATCTTCGGGTATTCCTTAATTAGCTATTTGAGTAAATAATACAATCATCAGTTTAACACGCGATGCATGCTTAATATTAATATTATTTACATTATTTCACGCGTGAAATGATTCACCTGATGAAAATCAAACAAGTGTGCATTCTGTCCGTCAACTATCTTTTTGAGCGTCACTTGTGCTAATTCATTTGTCGTTGGTTCTAACCAATTCGCTATAAGTGTACATCCGTGGCGTAATGATGTCATGTGTTGTACGTCTGTCAATAGAGAATACTCTATCCATTGTATATAGGCATCATACGTATTCCCCATATTACTCCATGATTCCATAATGAGTAAATCCAAGGATTGGTTGCCAGTCGTCCAATCAAGTAGTCTTGGCGCTTTACATTCATAACAGAATGCATTTATCTTGGGTTCTAATTGACATGTACATGCCAAACATAAACCGGTCTCATCATGCTCTTTTATTAGATAATACTTCTTTTCGCTTGCTTTGTACGTAAATCCGATGGTAATCCAAACATTATTGATAAGAATATCTGGATGGTCATCACATAACTAGTGGAAAGTATACACAAGTCAATATTTATCTAAACATATTATATTCATACGAATATTTGATAGTCACCTTGGCATAATATGAATCATCCGTCTCGTCTGTTATTTCAAGTGGAATCAATTTTATGCGATAACTAGTAGGTAGACCATCCAAGCATACATATTCATCTCCCCAACCACCAATACAATCAAATGGAATCCATTCCAAATAGACCCCATTTGCTGAGCTTGTTTGTAATTGGGACTCCTTAATAAACTCATCGAGTCGCTTGTTGTTGCTAGTCCATCCGTGGGATAATTCTTTACGACCGCAAATGCACCACACGGGACTACATCGGAGTATTTCACACGCGGAGCAGGATCCATATCGAGAATAACAATAGTAAAGCTGTCTGCTAGCAACCATGTAGTAGTTGTCGTCATACTCGGTGAATCCATATACCAGTTTGTTGCGAAAGCAAAGCCACCTTTGGTATCTTCTGAAGTTATTGTCATCATTATTGTAATTTTGTGCCGGAAGTGAGTATATTCTAGCAAACTCACTCACAATGGTCGCTGTACATTCTTCGCTATTTCCAATTAATAGCAACATTATATCATCCAAAGTTTCTTTGCGACTAGCGTAGTAGACGTTGCTAAGTTGACTTGGCGTTATGTTTGTAATTTGCGAGGAAGGAATCCATTGAAGTGCATGAGATAAAGAAGAATGAAGCAAGTTGTCAATTGCTGGATTACAAATATCGTTAACATCCATATTTGAATAAAATTTTTTTTTCCTCTCGAAGAGAGAACATTTTCAACAATTAAAAGAAGATCGATTATCGCCAATCAATTAACACTCGCACAAGAAAGACATGGCATTACGACGACGATGCGACAACAACAGCTATACTACATACTGTACACTCGCGTTGCAGAATAGTTGCAGGAAGGATGAGAGACTTAAACCACAAATCCGACTCCCAAACCAAGCTTGTAAAATACTACTCTGTCAAATGATATTAAAGAACTGAATGTCGCCTCGATTTATTGTACAAAGCCCAATCCTGAGCCAGAAAAGGGTTGCATACATTAGACACGGAAAAGAGTTGGGTGAAAAGGAGATAAAGTTTGTGGAGCTGTTACTGGAAGGTGAGAATTGTTCACAAGAAGTAATTAATTCGTAATGGTCAAGCCAAAATACCTTAAATTTTTAGAGCATCATTGCTGCTGTCTTCGAAAAGTTTACAGCAAGAATTCAGTAGCATTTGCCAATTCGAGTTCTAGAATGCGATGGTATTAATATAAATTATCATTATTATTGCAACGGCGCGTTGTATATCGATACCTTTAGTAAGGTAAGGACTCAAAAACTTTGATTATTACAATATCAACCACTTTTGTCTCTCATACTCAACAGGCTATGTCCGCGGAATGAAAAAGACAGATTTATGGGACTGCATCACATACTTTACCGGTAATTGCTATTTCTGCCGTAAATTAAACTTTGCATTCTCTTTTCTATCAATTCACGCGACGTCCATTCCAATATATTAATATTTCTTTTAACTGCCTCGCGATAACAAAGTGTCTCTGGAGTTTTGCGTTCCTTATTAGTTGCACCTACGATTGAACGCTAAAGGTGTAACATGGTGTCTCTGGAGCTTGTTGGGATATAGCAACTTACTATACCATATCGTCCGGCTCCGTTGATTCTACTATTCAAGAGTGCTTATACCATTCATATCCATTCTCTCCTTCATTCATTCTAAATCTTGTCAGATTGGAAAATGGACTTGAATTGACATGTGGCGCGCTATCGAACGAAAAAAGACTGAGAAACTGTCCAACCAATACGACTGATGTCATGGGCTTGTGTTAAAAGCTTACTTCTTTAGGAAGGATGGGAAGCTGTATCCCAAAGATTTCAAGTTTTCTTTGCAGAAGAGATTGATCGAAACCGGGGAACACCCTATGCCGATTATGTTACGTAAGAATGGAAGTGAGTCATTTATTTAATATGACATGGGTCGTTTTATAACAGAGTTCGTCATGAACGACCGTGGAAAGATGTCCAAGAAGCACAGAGGTATCAAAATAAGCTTTGGCATATCATTCCATGTATGATTTAATTCAGTAATTTACCCTTATCAATTGTTTCGCGCATCTTACTTATCCATTACAGATTGATAATGGGTCTCGATGAAGATCTTGACGGGTTTGATGGATGATAAAGAACACAGTAGCAAGGAAGCTCGGATATTGCTACTACTCGGACTTCTTTCTTTACAGAGCATTTAAATACCTATTCTTGTATTAATCTATTCCGTAGTATATATTCCTTCTTGGGCGTTTGGAGTAGCTTTGACAAATGTCAAGTATTGATAAAGTCCCTGAAACAAAATTATGGTCTGGAACTGAGCTATATGACCATTGTTCAGAAATGTTCCCACCACACAAAGATATGCCCACTTGGCAGATCGTGAATTACTGGCAAACTGGCTTGGTGAGTTGAATGAGATGTGAGATGGGAAATGCTGAGAAAAAGTGTTGTAGAAGTAATAAAATTGGGGATCAGTTATAATAGACTGGTAATGTTACGATCCATCGTTGGCGGTTCATATCTTGTCCCTATAAGGACGTCAAGCAGCTACTAAAGTAAAACATACAATACTTATATTCTTATCGTTAATTTTTAAATATCTATGCTACAGTTTTCTCATTCACGTTTTCTCTATATCACAGATAACTGAACATTTAGCCCCAAATAAAATTGACAAGTTTGAAAGTTTATCATCCTATTCATACTGGCCGTGATCCTAATCCATTCCATCTTCTACATGGTCCACCTTCACCTGTTTGATGCTGGTGGGTTGGGAGAAGTGTGCATGGAGGGGGGTACATGCTCTATGTGGTATTAGAAAGTATGTCTGATAACACACAATTTTCTAATAATACTGGACTAGAAACATAACTTCTGGGATTTGATGAAATTTAACAAATCATTCTTCAGTGGAAACCACAGAAGTAGCAGTTGAAATCGCAAAGACGCATTGAGGAGGTAAGAGAGAATAAGAATACTACAGTATATGCAGTGGAAATTTATATTACCTGTTGATGAACTAACACTACGCGTGTTTTTAGCTAAAGGATTGGAATGCTTATGTGTCTTTGGGGTGTTTGTGACAAATGTGGCATACTGTGAATTGGTGCTGAAAATGTAAGAACAAGGCATTAATATAAGGATGACACAAAAATGCCCAGAGAACGTGAACAATGAGACCCAATCCATATCTCTGATCGATTTGCATATTTTTTTTGTTTTGTTTTGTTTGTCAGATATATCCCTATGTGCTTCTTGGAAGGAAATTCTTATTACAATACACTTGGCAATAAACACGATATCATCATGCACGATTATTTGCATTCTGTAGTAGTGTTCACATAGTAATTCGTTCAAAAATTATATAAATGCATTCTGATAATGCAGAAGAACAAAATAAAAGAATTGCTAGAAAAGTGCCGAGACATGAATTTTTGACTTTTGATGGCTGAAATTGCACATATCCCGAGGTAATATTTACCTTTTACGTCAGTATAATATGAAAACTTTTGAAAAAAAAGTATAAATTGCGTTAACTCAAATCTCGAAACATAAGACCCAAACAAAATTCCGAACATTCACTGGCATTAATTACTGCTTCAACTCTTTAGATTGGGGAAATTAACTGGTTTTACTTGGCAATTTAATATAATTCCTATTTCTTGAACTATACCTCATCAGGAGAATAAATCAGGAAGAAAACGAACAGCATAATTTCTTGTATGCCGAACATGTTAGAAAGGAAAAACAATCAGTCAAGCCATACCTTCTGCTATGGAATCAACTATACTGCAATAACTCGTTTCCTTATCTATGACAATCCACAGAAAATGCGTTTGCAGAATAACGAGATTGTTAGTGACTACGCGATGAAGTAATTATAAGTTTCACGTTGTGAATTAATATGCAATAAAGTTTATTAACTCTGCTTTTTTCAATTAATAGATTTCATAATAGACAATTTTTGAATGATACTTTTCTTTCACGAAAGTAAACGGGTAACGGTAACTTGTGAAATTTCTAATCTTGCATCAGCTAATATTATTCCATCCATCCAAGGCCGACCCGACCATAATTCTATCTGTCTTGAGTCTTTGTGTTATCTGTTCTGTTAAAGGCATGACAAAATGCTCGAATTCGAGTTGGCCTCTACGGGTTATTTTGTTTATTTTTAAGGCCGCAACACATATATCTGGAACTCCGGCCTGGCGTCGCACCCTTTGACAGAAAAACGTATTCAATTGGAGCTTAACATATACAGCATATATAATAAAACTTCTCATACCATTGGGGAAGAGCTATTTCGCATGCTGTAAGCGTTTGAGGATCTCGAAACATAAAGATTGTATTATTATAGTTCATGGCTCCACTTGCAACCAAGAAATTTACTATGGCATTCTGATCCTGGCCAACAACTCCGTGTCTATTGTAGGTGAAGTAGGGACGTTGTTGAATCCAGCGTTATTCCACTGGATTATTATAGCTGGCATATTGGTATGGTTTTTTGTGGCCCGGAGCACAAGAGAAGCAATGACGGGGTCTTGAAGCACTTTGGGAAGGTTTACGATATCTAAATACGCGAAACATCAGTAAATAACTTTATACATTAGAAATCATTGTCACTTTCTGCTCTGCTACGTACCTTTTTTAAACTTCCTTGCAAGTATCCTAACGTTGCGTTCTTGTTCTACAATAAATATACAGTTGCAAAAATTATCATAAAATTTTTTCTACAAAGTTGAACAAAAACTTACTTTTACGGCGAATAAACTCAAAGAGGTTTGGCATATTGATTGGAATAAAGAGGAGTATCTATATGAATCATGGGTGATTTTAATGTCTCCGATACTTCACGTCACTCACGGGTGGAAATTCTGATTAATATCTTCTGGGACGTAAAAAAATAATATCAAATGTTTTATAGCATAAAATTTAGTAAGCATAATCGTAAAGTACTTCTTTTACTTGTATGTGCAGGTCCCATTTCCCGAAGAAGTCCAATGACAGAGGAAGAGGTTAGTGCTGTAAATCTTTTAAGTCTTTAAGGCATGAGATTGACAGATCAGTGACATAATGTTACTTTAATTGGGTGTTCGCGACCGGGGCGATGTTGGTTTATTATAGGGTGAACTTGTTCCGAGCGATTTACATATTATTTAGTGCACGTACGATCTTTCTCTATCCCCAACATGGATATCTACTACTTATACTCGCGCTTCAAATAAGGGTACCTACGATTATCTATAACACAATCGAGAGAATAATTTAACATCAAATTCTATAGCTAATACTTGGTTTGACTAGTCGATTCTATTGCTCGCACTTTTGTTCTTACCATAATAAATATAATTTATTGAATATCAAAAAGACTCTAAGAATACAAGTGATTGAAAAAACTTAAGAATTGATTGTGATGTTAGCTAGCGAAAATTCCATCTGCTTATATACGTGCCTATCTTTTCACTAAATAATGATCTAATCGTAAGATTAATCATGCTAACGGCTTATTCAATGAATTAATTTATAGTACTAATGCTGACTGCGATTTTTACAGTAGTTTGTATCAGTGTTGCCGTATCTTTCTTTGCGTACTCCCAAAGATTGTTTGCATCAGTAGTTATTGTGATACATATAAACCTGATTTATTATTACGTACGTATTGATATCATCGAAGTTGACGAAATTTATATAGGGAAATCCGTTCATGTTGAACAAAGTGGATATTATCATCGTTTGCATTAAAGAATTGGGCTAATCGTGAACAGAATGCGACAAACTAACAATGTATATTAACTACAGCATATACACATATAACTATATGGCACTCTGCTTGAACTGATACAGTACGGTATCATCATTATTTCCATTTATAGAATATGTAGACGCATGCTTTTTCTACCTACGCACACCAGATTCAGAGAACGACGAACGGTGTCTCTGACAGCGACTAAAATTAACAAAGGGCAAAACATGATTCTTAGAGGAATTGCATCCCACTGTCTATAATGTACCAATAGTTTTTGACCGCGGTGTGTTGGTGTGTTATGTTCCGATTTGCAGTAGTCAAACATCCCAATCCTCATGCCAATTTTGCCAAATACTCCCCTCGATAAATTTAAAACGAGAATTGAACTCGCATGTAATGGCAAAGAGTATTTTGTCCGATAAACATACAAAAGGTCAAGAATAAGCTCGAAATAAATTGCTAGACTGCAGTGCAGACACCAAGTGCTATTTCTCAGCGTTAAAAACGTATGAGTTACGACAACTCGAAAAAAAGCATACATACCATTCTCCAGTCTAACAATATTCTGTAATTCACTTAAACAGTACTAATACGTGATACGCGCGTATCGTGCATTAATACTAATACTAATGCTGGACATTGGAAAGTATAGGTAATAGTAAGGTATATGACTAATTATGCTGATACTACAGTAAGAATAAACAATAATAAATCGTTTATTGCAAGCCAAGCCTGGTGGATGAGATACTAATTTGGCATTTTGTGTGGCGGTGGTACGTTTACTATTATTGTTATATAAAAAAAATAATTACGATGCAGCGAATATTTCAGCAAAAGGAAAAGTAACATATGACAACCAGTCACATTAAGAAAATTTACATCTGCATCTATATTTTAATGCTCTCTTAAAAATACATACCACCAGTTGCCTTTCGATGAAAGCTTCTCCATTAATATAGTTTATACTTTACCATTCTGTGATAATCTTCAGGCATGCTTCGATCCCTTTTGAGCATGCGCATGGTGGCTAACGTCTGGCTGTGTTCAAAGACTTATATCACGTGAATCAAACGAACATCAATTTGGAATAGCGCAACAAAAGTTCAAACAAGCCTTTTGAACCAAAGTATTCATGTACTGTAAAAGATATGAGTGGCCTTTCTACTTCGTTAAACACTGAATTATTGTCACTCTCTAGTGAAGCTAGACGGAAGCATCCGGAAATAAAAGAGGTGCATAAGACACACTGTCCTGAAAATCTCTGCAGAACTAGCATTGTTAGAATCATGACTGATTTGTTTTTATGTCATTTCTGACATCAAGGCTGCAGAAAGATCAATATTTATTCTGAGAACAATCAAGGAACGACCCGGATTTGATATATCAGAGGGTTGTTAATTTTGATCTGTTAAGATACGAGAATTAAAAGTGTTTGCTCTTTGGAGGAGGAAAAATTCTAACGATTTCCACCGTAATGGATCAATAACAGAATTATCAAGGAACTCTGACTTCCTGCGTCCATTCGTTCTAGCATGCGAAACAAAACACATAAAGCTGGTTACTATATCTATTGGCAGCTTACAAAAATTAATATCTCGTCATGCCATTCCTGAGGTAACCCTTTGGTTTTCTTGTGTTTGGTTGCGAACGATCATATCCATAAAATTTTATTTATGTCATTTCTTACATACATTTTCCAATCACAACAGACATCGATAAAAATGATCTTGAAGACCCTAAACGACATAATGTCGCAGGGCGTTGATATTCAACTCAAGATTCTACAGACATTACCATCACTTCTCAGTAATTACGACTCTTTACACGGAGATCTCTTGGCTGAAGTTTGTACTTTTTCAATTTTAATTGAATGCCTTGTAATTGCACCTATTTGACTGAGGTTAACATTAATACATATATCCTCTATTTAATATAAAGGCGTTGTTACTTTGCTTTAGACTACAAGACTCAAAGATCGTTGTTGTTAATAACACCGCTGCTGCAACCTTGCGTCAATTGGTGATTAACATCTTTGAGAAAGTAGAATTAGAAGACGAAAGAAATCAGAAAGATGGTATGCAAAGCCTAGCTCGACGTTCAAATGTTACACTGTACACAGACAATATTAGATACATGTACATCATTTACTCCAAAAACAGGTGAACCTTCATCTCGACAGCCAGCACCAGAGCCACAGACATTATCGACCAAAACAGATCACGATTCTGAACGCACGCCTACGGCCCTCCAACCATGCGCAAGGGACGCTTATTATTTGTTTCAAGATCTTTGTCTGCTCACCAATAATGAACCCGCAACATATTTACGATTGCATAGTCTCTCAAAGACGTTTGGATTAGAACTGATCGAGTCGGTCTTGACGAACCATTTCAAGATTTTCAAAACGGTTGGCGACTAAATTATTGGACCGTCGTTTTTTATGGGCACGATCATGTTTGCTTGCTAATCCAATTTATATATACGATATAGCATCCTGAATTCACTGGGCTTTTGAGAGAGCGAATTTGCCCGCTCATAATAAAGACTTTCTCCGATAAACACGACTTTCCACAAACGATGCGACTAATGCGTGTTGTGTACATACTAATAAAACAATTTAACGAGTTACTGGTATGGTATTTACAACTCGACGATTGTCCGTTTTTCAACTAGTGTGCTAATACTAGTCGCGTCCTTTCCCATCCCCTAATAGGTGACGGAATGTGAGATATTTTTGTCCATGTTTATCAAAGTACTTGAACCGGAAAACCCGTTATGGCAAAGAGTACTGTTGATGGAGATTTTTCGTGGAGTCTGTGCAGACAGCACTCTGCTCCGCTCCATCTACGGTTGGTACGATCGAACGGAACATTCGACAAATGTGTTCCAGGATATGATTAATGCCTTTGGTAAATTGGCTGCAGAGAGACCACAGGCTGTTGGAGTGGGCGTAAATCCAATGATTGGGCATATTCATCAGGGTAGAGATAGCTTGGACATTGGTGGAATCGGAGGAATAGGGACGGATGTTGGAGGATTAAGTGTTGCTACTTCAACGATGAAAGTTCAGTGGTATGTTTGTCTTATCAGATACATGCGTTTACGTGGGATTAATGGTATATTGACAGCAAAACTAACCATACTAAATTTTTAATGCCAAAGTATTGATCAACTGGATAAGGTCGACCAGCCTCCAATTCCCGAGACTTATCTCTACTTTTTAGCCCTTGTGTGTCTCAATTCTATTGCAGATGGTCTCCATCTGTTTGTCATGGCAATATTCTCAAACGTCATTACAAAGCAACAGCAGGAAAAAGCATTAGAGCAACCAGCATTATCCGAAACTGCGGATTCTGCTTCTTCACAGCTCCCTCAACAAATAGTTGTAGGAACATCGATTTTGAGCTTGCTTGAGAATCATCCACTTCACAAAGACATAATGCTGGTCAAAGACATGGCAAATACCGCATGGCCAGGCTTACTCGCTGCACAGTCTTTTTTCTTAACAGCTAATTTAGACGAAGAACTATTTCAAAGCGTCCTACGAGCATATCAAAACTTTGCAATCGTGTGCGGCGTACTGCATTTGACAACACCGCGCGATGCATTTCTGACAAGTCTTTGTAAAGGAGCCGTCCCTCCAAGTGTTGTTGCGTCAGCAATTGCAGAAAATAGAACAGCGCCAACCGGTATTGTCGGTTCTGTCAGTGGAGATGGGGCTTTCATGAGTCTTTTATCAGACCGAAATTTATCCTGCTTGAAAATTCTATTAAATATTGCTCAATTTCTTGGCGGAGTGCTAGGTGATTCATGGTATTTGGTATTGGAAACGCTTCATTTAGCAGACTATATTCTGTTCCGAAAATATGCTCGAGGCGCGTTACGGAATTCACGAAAATTGGGTACTCATCATGGGGCGTCTTCATCAGCAACATCGTTAGTCAATCCATCAATGACTCAGACAGGAAGCACATCTTCACCCAAACCAAAACGCACGACATCTACTGCTTCCGTACCTTCATTGTCTCCTGGGTCTGGTAATGCTGCCTCGAGTGGCATTACCGGGGGTGGCTCAGATTCTCAGCAATCCGCTATCGAAAATGATTTAAACATTTTATTGATACAAGTTAAGAAATTATTCGAGAATTCAAAATTTTTGGATGATAGTGCTTTACAGGCCTTTGTACGCGCCTTGTGTCGCTTGAGTGCTCTTACCAGCGGAATACCGGTAGACTCTACTCTTATTGTGAAAGGTGACAACGAAAAGAATGAAAATAAGGGATATCAATCAGCACAGCTAATTGTTTTACGGGGGAATGTGAGTGATAATGATAGATTGTTTCAGTTTCTTTATACAATTTTAGCCAGCGTCAAGTAAAACTAATACACTGTGATTAATCTTTAGAAATCGGACGAGAATTCGTTTGCCATTGAAAAATTACGCTTCGTCTCGCTACTCAATATGCCTCGTTTGATAGCACGCGAACCTCTTCTAGTCTGGGACTTTGTAATATCTCACTTGATAACAACGGCCAATCACCCATCAACACCACATCAAATCCGCACCCAAGCTTGTGAATCAATGGACGACATTATAACTTCGGCAATGTCGTATGCTAGCGAGGTTGGGTTGGAAAAAGACGAGCGTATACAAATGCAGCTTCTTGTAGCACTGAGCCAGTTGATGGATAATTCCGACAGAAATGCAGCTTCAGGTAGTGTTAAAGGCTACTATGTAGAAGTACAAAAGATGAGTTTGGAGACGCTGAATAAATTGCTTCAGACATCGGGACACTCGCTTACATATGGATGGGCTATGATATTCGACATGATTAAAAGTGTAGTGTGCGTTGGTCCCGGTCACTTGGAGGGTTCGAGCGTAACCGGAGAAGAGGAAATTAGCGATCGCTCAAGTGTCGAAAGTGGGAGTGTACTCGACGTGCAGTTTGGTGCATCAAGTACAAAAACGACGGGACTTGTTCGCGTTGCCTTCCCTTGTCTTCAGCTAATATGTACAGACTTTCTTGCCTTGCTATCCCCCGAATGCTTAAAACAATGTATCAATACGCTCGGTCTATTTGGGCAACAAATGGGTGATTTGAATATTAGTCTTACGGCTGTTACCCTGCTATGGAATGTATCCGACTTTATTCAGACGAAAAGAGCAGATTTAGAAAAGACTGCAGGCGGTCCACGAACAGATGACGATATACCAGAGAACGCTTCTTCGATCCGCGACATCGAACAAATTATTGAAAAAGACCTTAACCCAAGAACAATGAATGCATTGTGGATGTTGTTATTGCTGCAACTAGCGAGTATTTGCTCAGACTCTCGGCCAGAAGTTAGGAATGGCGCCAACCAAACATTATTTCGCACAGTTGATATGAACGGAGCAGTGCTTGGCATATACAGTTGGCACACGTGTGTATGGCAAGTTTTATTTCCGTTGTTGGATGCAGTTAAACTTGCATCGTTACGGGCCGTCAAGGTTATGCAACAGTATCATGGAAAGAGTGGTGATAGATCTTCGAGGGATATGAGTGGATTGATGATTCATCACTCGCGTAATACCATCGATAAGCAGTGGGATGAAACCAAGGTTTTGGTTCTTACAGGAGTGTCGGGAATATTCAAAAATTTCCTTTATATTCTAGTCAAACTGGAAGATTTCGAGCAAGCGTGGGATCTGTTTTTATCGCATCTCCAGGATTCTTGTCTGCATTCTAGCCACGAAGTGGCTATCGCGTCTATCAAGGCCTTGAATACCATTATCCAAAGTCCAAATGAAGCCGATTACGGCGAAGAACTGAGCAAGAAAATCTTGCCTTATTGGCAGACCGCATGGGTCATTTGGGAAAGAATTGGTTTGGGTATGATAACAATGTCGGGAAGCACGCATCATCCGGACGGAGCTGAAATTGACAACGAAGCTTCGCCGACTAGTGAACCGAGTTCGAATGTAGCTACACACTTTACTCAGGACACTCTAACAGCATACATTACGACGTTTGCTGACCTCTACAAAATTATAAAGTCCAAGTTTGAGCTTGAAAAAGTCAAACGTGTATTGCGTGTTATTCGTGGTGTGTTGACGTATGCAAATAGTCCGTCATATAGACCGGATCGCGATTATCTTACCCCTTTGCAAGAGTCGGTCTTGGATATTTGTATCAAGATGGATATGACAGTACCCGGAACTCCTGCGGCTGTCATTGGTGAGTTGGCTGATTACATGACGCTGGCATTTATAAACAGAGCTCATGCATTCGATAATGGTGATTCTGGCAAGAGCAATAAAGGCTCTCCAATCACGGCCAAGGGTGAAACTACCATTAGGCCTTATGACACTGTTACTTATATAACATTTTCCAAGACCGTGATGACCAAGGCTACGGATATATTTCACAAGTTTGTCCATAACAAGGAAATTTATACTGAAGATGTTTTTGCAAAGCTTATTACGGTACGTTATCCGCCGCCCCATGTTTGACGTGGAATTTCAACAATTTTTTCCCAACACTGATTACTCAAGTTTGATCAAAACTCCAGGCATATGGGATTCCAATGGCATTGAAATATGACTGCCCACCCCCCGGAAAGCATACACAAGATGTGGAACTCTGGAAACTCGCTACAAAGTCTTTTTTGTCGGTAGTAAAAGCTGGGTTGAACGTACTGGAAGAATTTGGAAAAAGTAACTATTAGTACCTATAAAATGTTGTGTTTGGCTATACACTACCATCTCTTACGATTCTTTTTTCATAGAAATACCTGATGAATGCTTTGTAAATATATGGAAACAGCTAGTTGACGTTCTCGATAAGGCCCTATTGTCAAAAAGGTATGTTAATCTCTATATGCCAATACTACATCCATTACACTACATCGTTGATAGACAAGGAAACAGAACGAATGTTAAGCCTACTCTGGTTTCTAGTACACCACCACAAACAATGATTATCGAACAACACGACACAGATGAAGCATTCGATATGAAATTCCTTTTAAGTCTACAGTCAGATGTCTTCATACATATGGGCAGCCAACGAGTACCGCTGGAACTAGTTGAAAAGTTGATCAGCACTATTCGAAAGGGATCACAGTTATATTCTACGAATGTCAGTCGTCAAGCGGCCCTAGCTGGCTCGTTGAACAAACCGTTACCGAACCCTAACGCGCCGCTCGCCCATTTCAGGCGTAGCTCACTAAAAGTGGAAGGAACAACGGCAAAAATTTACCCATCACCGAGAGAGCGGTTTGCATACACGTGTCTGCAGTGTTTGTTTGATTTGTGCTCAGATGAGGATAACGGTAAGACATTCGGTGCATGTATGCATTCTGTGTAGTGAGCAATATTAATATATCTCACTCAAATCACATTGTCATTTAGATCAACCTTTGGTACGTCATCGAATAGCCAAGGTTGCTGCACCCGTACTGTTGGAACGTTGCGAGTCGGTGATCAATAATTATATGGCTGATCAACCATTGCTTGGTAAGCTGCCACTTCCAAGGTAGATATTTTGCTGTGTATAATTGTTTGTTTTGTAAAATTCCCTTTTGTCTGCGTCTGCTATCGTGGTTTACATTTCAGTATATCTGTTAGAGTAAGAAACGACGAAATACTGTTGATTCTTCAACAATTGGTCAAGCTACGATTTAGGAAGAATATACTACAAGTTGAACAAGAAGATTCTAGTAAATGTAGGTGGAATATAACAGGTGGCGACTTTGTATGTGCGTTTTCTAATATCTCTCTAAATTCATATGTATAGCGACGGTGAAGAAGCAAATATTATCTGGTCCATATGCTCATTTATTCTATTTATATCCAATACTTTGCGAGGCTATTACTGTTGCGGACGAGAATATTGCGGGATTACTAAAAGATTGTTTAAAGAAAGCCGGTGAAGAGTTGGGAATTTGCTAGTCATGATGTTGGCAATGGTGCCAACTACAAGATGTTATATCGATACTTCCGTTCTGCGAAAAAGTACTATTTGTAGATTGTGACTTGATCACAGTTAATACTGTTTATATAGACAAATCATATGAGTAATTAAAAAATTGTTTGATATGATATTAGAATATCTAACAACTAGCAATCGAACGTTATGTCCACTTTTTTGGACTGCTATGGACATACAACGGACTAACTTTTTTTGTGCCTATATAATATTAATAATAATAAAATAAATTATTTTTTACGTAATTTCAAGACTTTGTTATTTCCGCGTGGCATAATCAGCACACTGAGTTTTCGAGGTCTTTATTTAGGCACTAATCAGCACACTGACAATTACCAAAACAGAGTTATGCAGGGACTGTCTAAAACGCGGGGCTATGATTTCTTATATTAATATTGCTTTGCTTGATTAAATTCTCGCAGACAACCTCCTTATGGTTAGCTCCAACGATGTTCAAGGATCAACAATTCACTGTCAATTAACACAAACTTCAACAAGTCCATAAAACTCTTTCCCATAAAACCAGGAACTCTACCGAAAGTTTCGCATGTCGCATTAAGTCGTGACTGATTCAGAAGTATTCATAAATACGGACGAATAGAACAAGTAGCATCAAAATTCAATATTTTACTCTATAATAAGTATAATTCTTTAATGCTCTACCCGCGTAAAGGTAAATTTCAGTTTCGTGCGTGTTAAACCCACTGCAACCTGTCAACGTTATGCACCATTTTTGTTTCAGAATCTTATTAACTCAACCCATATTGAAATACTGTATATTCTATTTAATTCAAGAGGTAAACCGTTGAATAAAACTCGTATAAACTATAAAATAAACCGTGATTATGATTACAAGTTTATTCAAGAGTTTGAGTCGCTAAATTATAAGACAATGGACGATGTTAATATTGTAAATTCATTCAAATCAA